GGGAAATAAGCAAATGAAGGCCTTTAAACCTCATTTATCAAATTTTTGCTTTTGGTAAGCACTTTGATTCCACTTTCATCGGTCATCTCCACTTCCAAACGAGTTAAACTTTCTGAATAACAATTTCCATTAAATGTGAATTTAACTTAGCTGATGCAGACAGTGTCACTGATGCAGATTTTTACAGTGCACTTAAGATTTGCATATCATTCATTTAATTAAAACAGATTGATGCAGTAAATCAAAGCATTAGATTTATTTAGACCACTTTTCAAAATGTCAAACATCTGTTACCTTGAGTTCACATATTTTTAATAACACACCCAAGTACTTCCAGACCACCCTCCATCAGCAAGACGAACAATTGAGTCCCAAGACACAGTGTCGAGTAACCTCCTGCTAGGAGGCTTGTAAACTTTGCCACCATCATCTCTAATTCTGCTAAATTCATAGTAAAGAACACGCACTGATTTCTGTGTTTCATCTGCTGTAACCACTCTTGCAATCCATGGGTCTGGATCATCTCCTTCTATTAAAACCATGTCATCTTTCCTTGGATAAAAGGGCAATATCAGTGGAAATTCAGGCAGTTTCCTTCTCTGATAATCAACCACAATGTACTGGCCATTGTTTCTTGGATAGAGTATAACCTTTCTTAGAATTGCAATGTCCAATACAAACAATAATCGATTTGGCAACAACTTGGTAACTTTGTTATATCCAGTGTCAGTTTGTGATAAAGATGAATCCTCATTTTCAACGTAAGTGTACTTTATTACTTCAGCAAATTTTTCATATTCTTCCCCTATTTTAACACAAAGAAATCTACTGATTTCAACTACATTTTCCTCTCCAGCAACATCTACTATAGCAGCTTCCCCAGCTCTGTAGAGTAACCCTTGATTAGCAATACACTGTTTTGGCTTGAGGAGACTGCGGAAAGAGAAAGCCACTTCAGATACTGCATAATTATGTTCATTTGTGGAAACATCTCTCTGTTTCGATTCCAGAATGAGATGAATGTCTTCTGTGAGTAGCACATCATTTCTATTTAATCCACCAACAAGTACACCTCTATGACAGCTGTCTGAATATTGAGGTCCCAAATTTCTAATTCTTTTGACAATGAATCTTGCAACTTCCATGCTTTTTGCACACATCTAAAAATGTAAAATTAGAAACATATTTAAATTATATGTAATGATAATTATGCAAACTCTAACACACACTTAGAATATTTAAAAAAAGTCAAATAACTTATTTGACTTTTTTAATAGATTTATTAAAATACCTTTTCCAAGCAAAACTGGAATTTATTATCATTATTCCCTTGTAATCCTAACTGTGACTTGTGCAATTTTAAAACTTCTCTCCTTGTTTCTTTCTTAGCATAAGTAACTTCTATGCCCTTGAAATTGGTGGGACATTTAACATATCTCTTGACTGCTCTTTCATAGGCAAAACACCAGTAATTGTCTGGGCGAGAAAATCTGGTGGCATCATCTGCTGTATGCTGAAGGGCATGAGCAGTTACAAGGCAAGCGGTAAGGCCCTTATACTCTTCAATCAAAATCATGTATCTCATTGCCAAAGTTCTAAAAATTTCTACGTCTACAAGTTGCCAACCATCCCTCTTGTAAAACACTAGCTCTACCATTCGTGCTGTAAGATAAAGCAGATGGAAGTCAATTGGCTCAAGATAATCATGCAGTATCAATTCTGCTGCTGGAAACATAAATTTCTGATACTCTTCAGCTTTCCAATAGCCCAATCGGTTTGAAAACCCATTTGGAACTCTACCATCCTTTAGTTCTAAAAAATGAAAGAAAGAAAGGAAGTAAGAAAGAAAAGAAAAAAAGTCATACAAGGAGGAAAGGAAAGAAGAAGGAAGGAAGGATAATTTATATGTATACTTGAAGTATGAATTATCATTTACTAGTATATATATACACCTACTTGCAAGAATGTTGTCATACGATATTAGAACATTAGTAATTTAGTGAGAAAGGAATACATTAAAAGACAAAAGAAAAAGTTCAGCTTCAGTGCTCTTCTTTTGTTTTTTAATAATTCCTATCCCACTAAATCACTAATGTTCTATTTTCGTATGACAGTGTTCTTGCAAGTAGGTGTATGTCACCTGATGTCCATGGAAATGATTTTAGTTCCTCATCCACCACCTTTTTGTCAATTTTTTCATCATTTATGAGATCAACAACTTGGGTTTTAATAACATTCATTGGCAGCATATGCATTATGTCATTCACAGTATCCTGAATAACATCAAATCCATATAGGTTATGAAGCCGATGAAGAATACTTAGGCCTGTGTAACCAGAGTCCTTGGCCAATGTTGCTCGTACACTACGTCTATCTTCCTCTTCAATGCTTTTCATTGTGGCAGCCTCATTTTTAATGTCACGTTTTTCACAGGGAAATCGTGCTCTATACCTATTGTTGCCAATATAATAAGTACTGCCACCTCCAGGATTTGTACCTGTAAAACATAGAGAATCTGCTACATTTGTTGTTTGATATTGATGAAGTATATATCTTTTGATAAAAGAATAGCCATGTATACCTCAATAATATCCTTTTTTTAGTGGATTACCAATTTCAAAAGCCTAACTTACCCTTTAATTTCTCTCTCCTACAAGGGAACTGTCCACAAAAGATAAATTTTCCAACTTCACATTTTGCTGGAAGGTCGCCTGTCCAGCATAGAATAAGGCAGCGTATCTGAAGCCTTCCACTTGGAAGATCCTCAAAGTCACCAGCATAATAAACCTTCACACCTAAATGCATTAATTGGATTCCATTAATCAAATCACATTTACTTAACAATATATACATGTATTGCAATGGAATGTTTTGTGTGTCATTGCTAAAATGAGGGAAATATTTTGGAATGCAACTCAAATTGGAGGACAAAACATAAGGTTAAAATATTAATCATGTTTTGTCTTCCAAATCAAGCTGCTTTGATGATGATAATCTGCTAACCATTAATAAAAATGTTTTCAACTTCAGTTATAAGAGGATGAAGAAAAGGATCTAAAGTGCATGCTCTCTTCTTGGGGAGAATGTAACTTGGCACAAATCCAATAGTATAGATTTCATCAGTCGACCATCTGTCTTCTTTTGTCATGTTTGCTATTGCTACTTCAATAGCCCCTAATTAAGAAATGGATAAAAAATTAATTGAGCCATGAATAATTAATTAATAATTGTAATATCTAACAATTATTTGCTGAATGCGAAGTGAATATCGGGGAATAATAACCGAAACGAAGTCGATTCCTGATCATTATTCCCGATATTCACTGCACCTGAGGTGAATAATTGTTTTAGTGTAATACACAGGCAATTCTTTCAACAACAAAAAAAGGAAAAAAAGAAGATAAGAGACTTTTAAAATTAGGTAACAGCAACAAAGTGGTTGGCTGCCATTTTGGATTATCGCTGGAGGTGATTATCATGTGATAATCTGAGTTTCTTGACCAATCAGTGCACAATATTTTCAATAATCACCTGGCTATGTATTTATACTAAATTTACATATTACAAAATGCAATGTATATGCTAAGGTATCTTTGTACACGCTTTACCTATTTCATTTTAACATTTTAATGATTATTAGACAGCAGAATGCACACTTACCACAACTGTGGGCACCAGGGTATCCAAAAGGTTGCCACCCATCCCAGTGTCCAATAAGTGCAATATTTCGTGGCTCACCATGAACATATTTAGGCTTATATTGATGTCTTACTCCACATTCCTTACAGATCACCTGGTAACATCCTTGGAATTGGACAGATGATGTTATTTGTTCAACACTGATGACACACAAACAAAATGTGCATTTAAATGGCAACATCCATTCCATATTGTTATCCCAAAACCACTTTAATTCATTGAATCTGGATCCATCCCATATTTCTCTTAGTTCATCTGGATTTGCTCCAGCTCCCTCAATCCAGTTGGCTTTATTTTCCCAATGTGACATCATCTTCTTACACATAGCAGGGTCAGCACACCATCTCTCTATTTTATCAGACAGTCCAAGGTAATAGTATTTGATACTACCATTCTTACCACAGTGTCTGCAAGAAGCAGAAGGGGATTCCATGACATCTCATGAGGCATAGTGACTATCATCCAGACAAATGTACAGTTCCTTTGGATCCTTATAGCCACAATCCTTCAACAGCTTCTCAGTTTGGCTCCAGTTTTTAGGCCATATCAATTTTACTTCATCATTGCTCTTGCAGTAAAGATCTCTAGCAAAGTCCAGAACATCTTCAAAGTCATTTTGAGACCCTTGCATCTGATCAACTAGCATCAATGCTTTTAATATTGCACATATGATTTCTGTTTTTATCCTTTCTTCATCATGATCAATATCTTCAGTTCTAGAAGTTCCAGAGGTTCGTGAAGCTTGAGAGAATTCATCATCAGTGCCTTCAACTTCATCAACACTACATTCTTCATAAATGCTTGACACTTCATCATTGCCTTGCAAATCATCTACATTTTCTCCAGACTGTACTGTTGGCCTTGGACTGTCCACGCCACTGTATGTGTACAATGGCAAAAGGAAGAAAATAAATGAAATTACAATTCTTTTTTATTTTGTTTTATTTTTGTATTCGAATAGCATGTAATATCTTGAATTAAAATGAACGGTGATTTGGAACAAAACGAGGATGCACAGTCAAAAACATGCAACAACAAGCTAAACCATAATGCGATGTCAGTAAAGTTAACTAAACCAAGAACCAAAATCGTCATTTCCATCATCCATATTTTCAAATTCTTGTAAACTTTGCTGTATCTTCCAGTGGTTGTACTCTGTTGATCGGGATACGGGTGCGCCATCGCATTCTCCACAAGGACAATGAGTGTGCTCATAATCTAGAAGCGAACATCGGCAGCTTGATATTTCCTCTCTATCCCACAGTGAAAAACGTGTAATTTTCCTTCTTGGCATACTGAATCAATCAAGACTAGTCAAATATTTTAATTTCGGTTTGTTTTGTTAACAAAAGATACACCATATAAACGAAGGTGTATTCACCATGCGTTTCAGTTTTGTCCCAGTACTTTCGTGTAAACCGCAGGTAGCCAAAAAGCTATAATTTTTATCTTATTCTTAATTTATAAAAAGACCTCATGCTTTGAGATATCTTATTTCGAATTCTTTATTAATAGTTGCAATTTCCTATATTCCTTATCATTTTTAATATATCATTGTTTATTAGAAAATTTTCGGTCAATAAGTTATTTTCGCGCGTTTTTTGGTCACATGATTCGCGGCATCCAATGATAGCAATTCCTTGATTTGTAGATTTGTAGTGACTTCGCAGACTTCGCGCGCATTTCTATCTTCCCTGCAAGTAGAGTTAGTAGATTGCTTGCAAGTAGAGAGTGCTGTTTGTTGAATTCATTCGTAAAGGACATCTTCATTAAAAGTACAGCTCAATATTGATGACATGGACGTCTACGAAATGAAAGTGGAAGACGTAAAAGATTTTATCACCACGAATTTCGATAATGAATTGGCGGAGYGTTTCGAGAGTAAGTAGCCGAGTGTATAGATTAGATTATTTTCCTTTCCCGCTCTAACTCAGCACTATTCACAAACTAATAAATATAAAAAAGCTTACAAATACACAAAAGCCGATAGGTAGAACCAAACAGCCTTAGATTTGATGCAAAGTTTATAGGGCATTGGGACAATATATAACAGAATCATTTCAGTTCACTCACGTACTTCACCGAAACTAAAAAACTTCTAAAAAAGGTTATATTAAAAAATGTACAGCTTTCATTTAATCTCACTGACTACATTTGAATATGTTGAACTTCGGTCTTTGAGTTCAAGTGAAAGCCGTAAAGTTTATTAAGTCAAACTTCAAGAGTGAAAGCACGAGGTAATTCTTTTTTTTTTCCAGTCCTTTTTCCCGCCAAAACGTCTACAAATCGCTAGTGCTTTTTTTCTGCCCAGTTTAGGAAGTTAGCTGTTTTTGTAATTTTGGTGAATACATACATTCTTTTGGTTTTGCATTATAAATGTTAGATAGAGTTCTCAATCTGAATGACTGGCTTTCTATCACAGAATTTAAACCATAGCATGTCGAAACATATACAATCAGCAATGATAGTTAATTTTTCTGTATGATATTTCATATTGATTTAAGTCTTCTTTATAAAAAATCTATTATTTCATGCAGATCAAAATATAGATGGGAAAGCTCTTGTGATGCTGGCACAAAAAGGAACGCAGCAACAGTTTGAGGCTTGTGGCCTCATAACTGTGGGAAAACAGCTTCAGTTTAGAGCTTCTGTTGAAGAAAAATTGTCAGGCAGTGCTGTAGTAAAGATGGCATCAGCTGAATTTAGAGGTGGCAAACCTACCAAAACCAAGTTAAGATCATTATCTGAAATAGAACAGAAACTTTACAAATTCAAGTAAGTGGGTCTTCTAGTATTACTTAACAGGTGTGTCATAAGTATAATTATTGCACAAATTTGATTTTATTACAGGAAGAAAATAGTGAGATCTGCTGCAATAAAGACTTTTCCAGGCAATAATCTCCCAAACTTTAAGTTATCTAAAGAAGCCAAACAGAAACTGGAAGCACTAGCTAGCTCTTTAGTAGTTGAATGTGGCTATGAGCCAGCAGGCTTTGGCAGAGAAGGGATCAAACAGCACATTATTGATGTCTTAAATGAAAGGAGGCGAAACCACAGGAAAGGACGGGACTATAACCAGGTACATTTATGACTAATCTTTGTGAAATCGGTAAAAAAAAATTATTGGGAAGCTACTTGGTAAATTTTAATTAATATATTGATTTCCTAGCCTGACAAAAGAACTCTTAAAAGAAAAGTTTCTTCTGATGATGATGTTTCAAGTTTGAGAGGTGTAGAGTCCACTACTTCAACAAGCTCTGATGGTTTGCTGATAACACGTCCAGTAAAGGTATTTATTTCATTTATTGTATTATTCTTCACAGTGGTTCCTTAACTCACAAGTCTATCTTTTTCTAGCCTGCTAAAAGAACTTCAACACGAACTGATGTTAGTGGCAGTAGTGATGATGATTCCCCAACTGACTCCAATCTGGCTTCAGCATCCTCCACTCCTAAAAATGTCATATATACAGATGATGAGCTTCCACAACTACCTAAATGGCCATGCAATTCAGAAGATCCAGACTCACTGAATGTCCAAAATGATCGTGATTTGCGCAAAAAAGAAATGGAAAATGATGATGTTGCTCAAGAACAAAGCAGTGAGGCAATGATGGTGGAAAATGTGGATTCCAATGATGAAATTAAAGGTAAATGTGTGTCAGAGTGTGTTAYCTGGGAGGATATGCCAAAAGTATTTTTCATTCAGACTACTGTTGTCTGTGACTTGCGTTGAGTTAATTTATAAAAGTTCTTTATTCTGCTAACTTTTTTTACAGGAAAAGATGCAGCTGTGGTGGTGTGCGTGGCATTCAACGCAATTAAAGTAGGAGACGTATCAAGGAGCCAGCTGTATTCTGCTGCGAAACTGTTAGGTGTAGCAAAGAATGCTAGAAAGGACAAGGATAGTCTTGTTAGCCTAATTGGAAACAATCTTGTTAAGGAAGGATATGTTAAGATTGATGCGGGGGGGAAAAATGTTATTTCCCAAGAAAATGTTAAAATGGTTAAGCCATTCTAAGATTTTCCCCAATAGAGGTCAATCCCTAGATCCCTAGACTCAGCCAATTTATGACTGCATGAAAAACATTTTTGTAGAGTTGCTTGCATATCAAAGAATGACTAGTTATGATCAAAGACACATATAAGAAGTTTGTCGTAGATTAAATTTGTTGTTTTTAATCGTTGCAAATAAAAAATCTACATCTCCTATTTGTATATTTTAATGTTTTTTTTATTTAACATTAATGTTTTAAAAGTCATAACCATTAACCTGTACCATTAATGGATAATATGACTTGAACCATTAATGTTTTTTTACATGGTATTACCATGTTTCCCATTATGATATTTATTGAATAAAACATTAATGTTTTAAGACTTATAACCATTAAGTTGAACCATTAATGGATTTTGTGGCTTTAAACATTAATGTATTGTTATCAATAACATTCATGGATTACTATATTTTCCATACCTGTAATATTGTTTTTAACCAGTTATGGTTTAAATACTTATTCCATTGATGATTTTTGGACAAATGTCATCAATGGTTTATTGTTTTACAAAAACCCATGAATGGTTACTGTTCGGCGAAACCATTAATGGTTTTTTAAATGGTTAATATGCAATTCCCATTCGAAAATACCATGAATGGTTTTTTCCTTTTTTTCCCTGTGAACTTTTGTTTATCGTTTCGCAATGTGCATGGATTTTGATGTTTTGCTGCACGAATAAGCTTATATGGTATAAATCGATCGATTAAATTAGTGATATATTTTATGACTATATTTTTATTTGTCTTGACAATAAAAAAGAAAGGAAAAGAAAAAAAAAAGAAAGAAAGAAAGAGAAAAATTAAATATGGCTTTTGCTTTCTTTCGAAAGATTTCCATTTCACAGTTAAATAAATCTCATCTTAAATCTTATCTAAAAAATTTAATCTACACTGGCAGTAAATTTGCCCCTCCTCTATTTGTCATTTAGATGCCAGAGTTTTCAAAAAGGTGTAATAGGGTTACAATATACATCTGTGCAAATAACATATCTATTGTGTCTAGACATATATATACTAATAATATGGATAAAACTAAATCTTTTACAGAATTAACTAAAAGGCCCATGAGATAAATGATGCAGAAGTTATTTGTACTTGCCTTGCTTCTTGGTCAGGTATTTTATATACTGCTTTTATATGAATAGTATCTGTTTAAAGAATGGAAAAACCAGACTTGATATACACCCAATCGACCAATTTGAATAACTTTTGCTCTAGACTGACTAGCGACTGACCAGCCTCATGTTTACATGGAAACATTTTCATTTTTGCATGTTTGAGAGACTAGTCAGTCGCTTATAGTCAGTGCAATGATAGTTATTTAAATTGGTCTCCATATTTCGATTCTGTKTATGAGCCAGGCCTATGTAAAAAAGAATACAAAATTATATTAACTGTAGGCAGACCTATGGTTTTTCAAGGGAGTTAGAAAATGGCATAATAGTAGTTTGCTTACCTYTGGGGTCTTGGGGTTGATTMCTGGACTCRSCATCACATGKGAGYAGAGCTTGTTAGGTCTCTCCCTTGATTCAAAGGTTTTTCTCCAGGATCTCTGGTTTTTCTCCCTTTGCAGATAGAACCTATAGCTAAAATGCAAAATTCTAATTTGATCTTTGATTTAGCTTTCCCTTTTATTGATCAGGACTTAGATAAAAATTTGAAGCTTTAAATTAAAGGGGTTCCAAATTGTGAATTGGGGGCTTTAACAAATTTCCAATTTGTCCACTACAAATAATATTAGACACAGAGCGCCCCCCCTTTATTAAAATACATCAGAAACCAAGAGGGAGAATATTTGGTGTTCATTACATAAAAGCAGCTATATTTTTAAAATGGAATTTTTACTTGGATATGTTTTCCTTTTTCAGACCATGTCTCATTCCCTTGAGAATAAGTTTCTTTGTTTGAGTGGTATCCATTATGTGCCTTCGCCTGTGTTTCTGTCAAGCAAAGAAATAATACTCAGGGGAATGACATGGTCTGAAAAGGGAAAACATTCAGCCCAAGGTAAAGAGGTCTATTAGTTTTAGATTTAACATTTTTTTGTTTATTGCCTTAGGTTTATATATCAACAACTGGTAAGTGTTAATTTTGATGATGTTGAAATAGAATTATTGTTGATTAAAGATATGTGATGAGGATGATGAGATAGAAGTACCTAGAATAGACCCTTTTCGAGTTCCAAATTACCGCTGTGTTTATTGATTACAGACTATTATTTACTCTGTTACTGTGATGATTATGAGATAGTGATGATGATGAGATGGTGATATTTATGATGGGATAACTGATAATTGAGGATGAGATAATGATAATGTGGACGTAACAATATGGATGATTAGCACATACCAACTCGCGTACTTCCTAAGAACATGCATGCTCAATGGTTAATTGGAGGTGAATATCGTACGATATTCACCTCTGAATCTCGGAATATTGAGTTGGCAAAAAAATGGCATCTGCCGACAATCGTTTTGCTACAATTTCCAAAGGGGAAATTGAAAAAATGAAAGTAAATGCCATTCCTATCAATACTAAAAAGGAAACCAAGTATGGCCTAAAATTTTTGCGTGAATTTGTCACACAAACTAAAAGTTTCTGTTTGTTTGTTTTTATTGAATTATTGTATATAAAAATAAGTTACTCTGTACACAAGTTGGTATATGCTAAAACAATTATTCGCCTCAGGCTCAGTGAATATGGAGAATATTTACCTCGCCACACGAAGACTCGCGTCTCAGTAAATATTCCCCGATATTCACTTCGCATTCAGCAAATAATTGCTAATTATGATGATGATGATTTGTGATAAAAATAATGGTGATCATCATCATCATCATCATCATTATCATCATGACTTTAAATGATGAAGGCCGAGGAAGGGGACAACGATTAGCTTATATATACTGTAAATATAAACCATATTTCCCTGGAACTGATATCATATATGATTTAACAGAGAAAGTTGGTATTTGCAAGCCAGCTCCTGCATTTGGTCCATGTGTGATAACATGTGGTGCTGACGAAGACTGTGATGGAATACACAAATGTTGTAGTAATGGATGCGGTGCATGGTGTTCAGAACCAAGTAAGTCTGATCTGCTCATATTGATTATTATTCGAATTATTTTTCCGCCATTATAAATGACCGTGATAACGGTGAATTACTGCCTACAAATAATAATCTGCTCATGCGCATTATGGTACAAAGCTGTTTGCTGCAAATAATACTCTGCTCATGTGCAGCAATGTTGCATTTGTCACATGGCTCACTTCCCTGTGACTTGGTATGCAAAAACAACCAAAGCACAAAAAGGAAACAAMATTTTTTTTGAATGATAAAACAATTATTAAACTTGGTTATCACAAAATTTTGTGATTCGTTAGTCTCACAAGCAATTATTTGCCTCTGCCTTCGGCATCCGTGTAAAGACTTTTGCCTTCAGCATCAGCAAATAATTGCCCACTCACCACTAATAAYTCTAATATCAGAATATCACAAAAAAAATTCAAATTACAAATGGTTCGGATGGAATGAATAGCCACCATAAGCTTAAGCTAGGGCTATTTATGAGAGGCAGCATAATTGTGGCATACCGTAAACCTCTGAAAACAAGCCCCTTATCATGTGATTCTATTGTTCTTCTATTGTTCTAAGATCAAAAAGGCATGTTGCACAATTATAAGCCCAGCTAGGGCTTATTTTCGGAGGTGTAAGGGCCAGTATGCCACCTTTATAACCCACAAATAATTGATGGATGTATGTACTGAGATCTTAGAATCAAAACTTATCATTAAACATAAATTTTCTTTTTTTCCCCAACTTCTTAGCATGTCCTCTAAAGCAAACTAAAGTAGACTGTCCAGCAAGTCTATGTAACTATGTTGGCTGTCCAGGAAAACCTCAGGAAAGTGTTCAATGTTCCGTGGACTTTTGCAATCAGTGTATAGTGAGCTTCCGCAATGTTACAACTGGTGATCCTGTCGACTGTGGACCAGGTAATATTATTAATAATATCCTGATAGATTATGATTTGATATACAAGGGCACCGATCTTTGATTTATTAAAAGGGCTGTCCAGATAATGAATTGACATAAGTCATATTTTCCAGCATCTTACAAGAGGCAGTAAGTAAAGCCATTGAACACCTTCCTGCATGCACCCATGGCAATCTCTTTGTCTGGGGTTTGGGCTTCTCTTTTCTCCATAGAGTAGCATTACATATGTTTTTGATAATTTTCTATAATACACTCTTGCTTTTCAGTTGAGACACTCTGCCCTCGTATGCTATCATCAACCAATCAACACCTACTTGGCCAGTACAGACCTAAATGTGATAAATATGGTGCATTTGAAAAAATACAGTGCCATGAGGGCTACTGCTTCTGTGTTGATACAAGATCTGGTGTTCCTGATATGTCAACCAGTGTCAGGGGTACACCAAAATGTCCAGGTATGTAGCACCTTTTTAGATAAGTCCATTTTCCATTTCAGACCATGTGTCATTCCCTAGAGTATCATTTCTTTGTTTAAAGGCTGGTTTAGATGGTACGATTTTTGCCTACAACTATCGTACACAACAGGCTCGCGTCTGTCGTAGGCGAGTTGTAGGCTTGATTTACACACTACGACTTGAGTTGTAGGATGGGGTGAGCGTGTTGTATACGATAGTTGTAGGCAAAAATCGTACCGTCTAAACCAGCCTTAATGGTCGCTCATGAGAAGACACATGAATTGATACAACTAACAAAGAATCTTATTCTCAAGGAAATGACACATTGTTTGAGTGGGATGAAAACAATATGCCCAAGCTAAACAGGTCCATTTAAGGGCCGATGAATTATGGTTATTTTTAGTGAGACTTAATGAGACCACAAGATTTGGGTATAGATAATATTATGCTTGCGGCTGAGACTGTACTACCCATAAAATTGACTCAGACTTGGAAGGAATTTTGTAAGACCTTTTGTATTAGGACCATTCATCACTGCTTTGATTCAGTGTGGACAATTAAAATTATAATTCTTCTTGTTTTCATTTTCATTCATGCCATACATACATTTGGTAATAAAGGCCTCAGATAAAATCATTAAAAAAAGATAACACCATTACTCCTTTTATTTCTAACATTCCAGAGAAGACACTGTGCCAGAAGCAAGTAGATGAAGCTATGAAGCTGCCTCCTATTGGTCGCTTTGTCCCACAGTGCAAATCAGATGGCAGTTTCCAGGAAAAACGATACCATTTATCTACTGGTCAGTGCTGGTGTGTAGATTCTTATGGTAGAGAATGGTTTGGTACTAGATCTCACTCACCCACCCTTGACTGTACTGCATCAGGTAATAAAAATAAGGTGTTTGCTTTTTTATGGGATATAAAAATTAAGAGAAAAATGTTGAACCCACATATACAGCATTCTAGTCTCAGATGTGTTAACCACTACAAACTACACTACAAAAGCAACCATGCTTGCCTAGAAATGCAGCTTGACAATGAAATGTAGGGCAATTTCGGGGGGTGCCAGGGTGATGATTTTTATTTCTCCAGTGGAAAGTTGAGCACTATAAAGAAGAGTATGCAGGATAGAGAAAATTTTTAAAATCTTTAAATATCAGACAGATAATGAACCTGTGGCCCTCATTTCATGAATTAAATTGTTAATTAATTGTAAAGGAGGAGGATGAACAGAGTCACTTCTACAGAATATTTAACAAGAACTGACAAATAAAGTTAAATCACTTTAATATTAACAACACAAGTTTGGGAATTGATCCTTGAGCAGTCTGCCATCTCTACATGTCATTGTCCATAATTTTTAAACATGAATTTCAATGCAACAAGATTGCAGAAGTTTTTGGTTTATTAACTTCTCAATCTTCGTAAGGGTGGAAATGGAAACTTGTACAGATTATCTAATGCTTATCTTCCTTGTTCACAGTTTGTCCTTCTGGTGTTACACAGCTAAAGTGTGATCCTGTGTTATGCCACACTGCCAAATGTCCTGGTTATGAGAAAGCATCTTGCCGTGTCAATCCCTGTGGCCAATGTAAACCAGAATTCCTCGACCAATACAACAGACAAATTAAGTGTAAGTATAARATAATTAACCTTGGATGGTTGTATTGCATCTACTGGTAAGGCAGGGTGATCCTATTCATGAGGGTGAAATTTGTAGAGTTCTTCATAGCCCAGCACAAAGCAGTCACCAGCATTTTTTTCATTAAGTTTTGAAATAGTAGGAGAAGACCATTAACTAGCTGGAGAGTCATGGCAGGGTTTTCATTAAGTTCTGAAGCAATAGGGGACAATAATGATAGTTTAGCTGTAGAATTGTGCCCAGTAATCAGAGCATATTTCAATCCCCCACTCTAAATGAAAACCCTGAGTCACC